GACGAGCCTGAAATGCACCAGCAATGGCTATTTTGATGCCAGATCCCAATTTAGCAGCTTGTGCTAAAAATAAATGTGCGCCAAGTTAAGGTGACACCTCATATGCGCCGTTTCGCAACATTCCATATCCCAGATTCTCCTGATTTTTTTATGACACACAGTAACATACTATCACATTGGCCCTGGGTACTTTTTTCAAAAAAAACGGCCCCAGTTGAGGCTGCAGAGCAAACAGGTCACATGACCAGTTCTCTGCAGTGCCCTGGGGTCCTGCTTGGCCTATCCCACCCCCATTCTGCCCCCTCCCACCACGCCCACCCCGGAAATGGATGCTTACTAATTTATTTACCCCCTCCTCATCACCCTTGCAGATGCCGGGCACCTGGCAACCCCTCCCTCTTATTAGGAGAGCCTTCCCAAAGTGGAAGGTAGCATATTGCCCTCCAGGGCTTAGATTCATAGTTAGGAAACTGCCTTGTATTCTATATTTTTCTAACTGATACAGGTGCTGCCCCACCCTCTCTCCCTTGCTCGCCCCTCCTTCTCTCCCTTGCTCATCCCTTGTCCGCCCCTCCTCTGCCCCTCTGCCTCTGCCTTGCCCCCTTCCCTCTGCCGCGCCTTTTGCCCTCTGCCCTGCCGTCTCGCCGACCTTGCCCTGTCACCTGCCTCACTCTCACACCCTCACACCCACTTCGCCCTCACACCCTCACACCCACCTCGCCTTCTCACCCACCTCTCCCTCTCACCCTTTCGCCCACCTCTCTCTCTCGCCCTGCCACCCTCTCACCCTTTTGCCCTGCCACCCTTTTGCCCTCTTGCCACCTGCACGAGCGTGAGGAGGGGGGAGCACAAGGAGAGTAAGGGAAGAAAATGAGTAAGGGGGGAGAAGGGAGAGGGGAGGAGGGGGGGTGAAGAGGAGGACAGTGGCCCCTGCACATTGAGCAGGATGGCACTAAAACAAACGCAAGGGCAATCAACCTACCAAGCGCTCCAAGTCCTGGTGGACGGACGAGTGCTCGGAGACCTTCAGAGTGTATCAGTTGAGCCACTCGCTAGCTGATCACAACAAGTTTAAGAAAGTGTGTAAGAACGCCAAGCATGATTTCTTCAATGAATGCATCGCAGAGATGGCTACTTCTCACAAGTGCCCATGGGACCTAATGGAATGGGTCAAACAGCACAAGCTACCACCCTGTGAGGCTATTCAAAATGGCGACCAGCCTTGTCATGATATGGACAACCTTTGGGATGCCCTTCACGGCATGTACAACTTGGCCTCGGGTCGTGAGTACAATGCCTCTGTCTTAGACGAGCTTTCCGATGAGCCGGTCCATGAGTGGGCTAACTTTTCAGAGCATGAGTTGTTGAGTGCCCTTAAGGGGTGTTCCAACTCCTCTGCACCAGGACCGGACCATGTTACATGGGTCCACCTAAAGGAGTTGCTCAAGGATAAACATGTCCCTGTGCTCTTCATTGTGTTGGCCAACACTTGCCTTCAGGTGGGCCACTGGCCATGCATATTCAAGGAGTTGCTGTCGGTTATCGTTCCGAAACCGAACAAGCCCTCCTATGCAGTCCCAAAGGCCTTCAGGCCTATAGTACTCCTCATCACTTTTGGTAAACTTATCAAAAAGATGATCGCCAATAGGATACAGTTTGATGCCATCAAGCATGATATCTTTCACCCAAACCAGCTTGGCAGCATATGCCAAAGGTCAACTGAGGATGCTGGATTGATCCTGACTCATCTCATGCGAGCGGGGTGGGTTAAGGGTCTCCAGACTAGCGTGCTGGCTTTTGACATCACGCAGTTCTTCCCCTCTATCAACCATGAAAGGTTCATGGCTGTCCTGCGCAAGCAAGGGTTCTCGCCAATTTTGGTGGAGTGCTTTGCCTCTTATCTTGTTGGTCGGTCCACAGTTTACTGTTGGAACACCTTCCAATCCGGCTCACAGTCTGCAGATGTGGGTGTCGGGCAGGGCTCTGCTCTCTTGCCTGTTATCTCTGGGCTGTTCATTGCTCCAGTGATGAAGCTCTTCTACGTCAAGGCAGTGCCGCTCAACACGATGCTTCTCTCCTTTGTGGACAATGGGACCATCTTGGCCCAGTCCACACAACTCGATGATAATAATGTGGGCCTGCATAAGGCCTATAAGATTATCTACCTTTTATTTGTTGCTTTTGCCCTCGTCCTTGAGCATGACAAGACCGAGCTGTTCCACTTTTCGCATCAGCGAGACACCTACAATCCTTCGCTTGATTTGGAGTACACCCCACATACAGGTGCTACACCTTTGAAGCCCAAGATCTATTGGAGATACTTGGGATTCTACTTTGACTGCGGGCTCACCTTCCATGAGCATGTCCGCTACTATGCCACCAAGGCATTCACCACTGTGCAGGCCATGTGCATGCTCGGAAACTCTACCAGGGGTCTGTCGCCCAAACAGCGAGTCTCCTTTACAGATCTTGCATGGTTCCATCGCCACGTATGGTTATCATCTCTGGTATTTTGATGGCGCTCGTAACAAGGGTGCCATGAACCAGCTCAAACGGATGCAGCAAAAAACTGCTCTATGGATCACGGGTGCATTCCGCACCTCACCCACAGGCGGTCTTGAGGCTCTGGCAGGTCTCATCCCCGTCCATCTCATGCTGAAGAAGTTGGCAACGTGTGCAGTGTATCACGTCGCCACCCTCTCGGACACCCACTCTCTTTGCTCCATGATGGGCGAGGGACTCCTTAAGCGGGCCGCACCTCATGCCCGCTCAGCTGCCTTGATGACCCCAGCTATGTGAGGGAAGGTCAAGAGCACTGTCATGGAGCTGGATGAGTGCGTCCACACCTTAACTGAGAGCTTTGAGCCCTTTGCGCCTGAAGCTCGCCCAGGTGATCGGTTACTGGACCGCCATGCGGACCGTCTCCACTTTGACGAGCGCAATCCTACCCAGGATAGGCGCCCATATCTTGCTGAGCTCATTGTGAAAGCGAGGGCCAACCCTTCAACAGTACTGGCTGCAACTGATGACTCTGTCCCTCAGTTCAACCAGTATCAGGCGGCTTCAGCAGCCATCATCTACAAGGGACATCGCGAGCTCGAAAGGACTTGCTATGTCTCTGGCAGAGTTACCGCCCCTGATGTGGAACTCAATGCCATCTCGTATGCAGTGTGCCTTGCTGTCAAGCAGGCAAACTGCCAACATATTATGGTCTTTACTGACTCTATGGGCTCAGCCCACAGAGCAGTGGACCCCTCCATGCACTCTGGTCAGGCTTTTAGCCTGTCGGTCTGTCGCGCTCTCCAAGAGTGGTTTGAGGCAGATGATCTTCACCGCATCACCTTCATCTATGTTCCATCTGCATTGCGGTGGGATATCCATGGTGAGGCACACAAGTATGTCACTGAACTCAAAGTCAGGGTTGGATGTCGCAAGACGGCCAATTCTATAGACATGCTCCGCTCTCGAGCTACACACTCAGTCCTGGATTCATGGAGTTCCACTTCCAAGGATCCAACTTATTGCGGCTCTGAATTCTTGGAGCTTCAATGGCCTGACAGGTGGCCAATCCAACCATTGTACCTCAATGGGGGACCTTGGATTTCAACATTGGGACACAGTATTACTGAGTTTGCTCACATTTGCCAGTGTATAACTGGCCACATGCCCATCAGAGCATACTACTGTCGCTTCAAGATTAACGAGCCTCATGGCTGCACTTGCGGGGCTGCTTTGCAGTCTTGTCAGCACATCCTCTTTTGCTGCCGCGATAGATATTCTGTACACTATCCCTGTTTTCTCAGGGATATTGCATTGTTTTTGAAGCACAACCCCATGGCGTTTGGCTTCAACTGGGACCCCTCGGGTGTCGGGTGATCGCTGTAGGTGGGGTTGTTCCTCCTTTTGGGGGATTTATGGTGACTTGACACCACCAAGCTCTAGGGTTCAAAGACCTGCACCCGCAACAATTCATTCATGCAGGCGGTTGACTTTTTTGGTTGATCACAGCACCACTAACTTTCTGCGTCTGGTTTCAGGCAGGTGCATCTCTGGCTTGTCAGCCTCAAGACACCCTGCCACCTCCCGGGTGGTGCTGTTTTATTTTCATTGCACTGCAGGGCCCCTGAACAGCATTCAATGACTATGGGGCGTAGTGGAACCTCGATGATTTCCTCCCCTTATCCCGATGCACCACTTTTGCGAGGTGGGTTGCCCTCTGGGAACTTTCGATGTATACACCAGAAGGATCTTGGTTGGGGGGGTGGACGTGTTTAAGTACTTAACTTAGTAACCGGGTCTCATAGTGTATATGTTCTGTAGATAGCGAGCAGGCTGCCATCGAGCACCGCTATATAAATTGTTAAAAAAAAAAAAAAAAAAAAAAAAAAATGCAAGGGCAATCACAGCAAGACGGTGCGAATGCCCAATGCGAACATGGCAGTGGTGTGAGCACAGCAACACAAGCAGGGCGGCAACAGAGTACGGCTGTGCAGCAGGTGGCCCGTGCACGACAGGCTAACTGGGTACCCCAGAGCAGAAACGACGCGCTATGACACATTGTTTCTGCTCATTTTCTGTTTGTTTCACAGCAGGTGGCTGGTAGAGCCACCTGCATCATGTATACATTTTATTTTGATTTAATATGATTTTTTGTGATTTTTTTTTTGTGTGCTATGAGGGGCCCCCGAGCTCGCCGGATGTCGTGCTGGTGAGAGCAATAAAACAGATGTGTCATGGTAATGACACTAATATCTAAAAATAATTTGAGGCCCCACCAAAAAGGCCCACGTCATCCAAACCCACCTGGCCCAATCCACCCATTCCCGTCCCCCAACAATGGGGGAAATGGTGCACAATGATGAGGAAACATATTTCCTCATCATTGGCACCTTTTCCCCGTCGAAAACAGTGGCCGGAGTGCCAAAAATGATGAGGGACAATGCTCAGGCATTGTTTCTGTTAAACTTATGCAACAAAGTGGATAGTGATACACTGATCACACAACAATCACAATAAGTGCAGTAACCAATGATAAGGCAAATAATCAAGTGTATTGCGAGTTTAAGCCAACAGTTCAATCATAGTGCAAGAAACAAGTCTAACAAAGTATCTACTTAAGCTACAGAGACAAAACAAGTATGTACGAGTTCAGGACAATGAGACGAGATTAACTATAGAACAAACACAATGAGAATCAATGTGTGCAACAAGATATTAATGAAATAAGTGTTAAAACTGGGTGTAATCTGACCACTTTGGTTAACCCCAAGTTAGGGGTATTGGAAGGCTGGCACTGCAAGTCATTTGGAAGACCAGAATGGGTCATTGTAGACTTGGTGCAGTCATTGGTTGTGTGGTCATTACATTCCAGTTTAGTGTTCCCAATGGCCAGGTAGCTCAGTGGTTAGAGCTGCTGGTATATATCCACATGGTCCAGGGTTCAATCCCCTGTCTGGTCACTTTTCCAACCTTTAACACAAGACACCCTGCCACCTCCCAGGTGGTGCTTTTCTTGTTTCATTTGCGCTGCGTGGCCTCTGAACAGCGTTCAACGACTTTGGGGCATAGCGGAACCTCAATGGTTTCCTCCCCTTATCCCAATGCACTGTTTTTGCAAGGTGGGTTGCCCTCTGGGGAGTTTAGGTGTTTGAGCTCAAAGGGTCTTGGTTGGGGGGGCAGTCATCTTTTGGTAGTTAACTCAGTACCCAGGCTGCGTAGCATATGTGTTTGTAGATAGCGAGCGGGCTGCCATCGAGCGCCACTATATAAATTGTTGATCAAAAAAAAAAAAAAAAAAAAAAAAAAAGTACGATGCCTCAGTCTTAGATGAGCTTCCTGATGAGCCAGTCCATGAGTGGACTAACTTTTCAGAGCATGAGTTGTTGAGTGCCCTTAAGGGGTGCTCCAACTCCTCTGTGCCAGGACCGGACCATGTTACATGGGCCCACCTAAAGGAGTTGTTCAAGGACAAACACATCCTCATGCTCTTCATTGTGCTGGCCAACGCTTGCCTTTGGGTGGGTCATTGGCTGCGCATATTTGAGGAGTCACTCTCGGTTATTGTACCAAAGCCGAATAAGCCCTCCTATGCAGTCCCAAAGGCCTTCAGGCCTATAGTACTCCTCATCACTTTCAGTAAACTTATCGAGAAGATGATCGCCAATAGGATACAGTTTGACACTGTCAAACATGATATCTTTCACCCGAACCAGCTTGGCGGCATTCGCCAAAGGTCCACTGAGGATGCTGGATTGATTCTGACCCATCTCATGTGAGTGGGGTGGGTTAAGGGTCTCCAGACTAGTGCACTGGCTTTTGACATTGCGCAGTTCTTCCCTTCTATCAACCATGAAATGTTCATGGCTGTCCTACGCAAGCAAGGGTTTTTGCCAATTTTGGTGGATTTCTTTGCTTCTTACTTAGTTGGTCGCTCCACAGTTTACTGTTGGAACACCTTCCAATCCGACTCACAGTCTGCGGACATGGGTGTCAGGCAGGGCTCTGCTCTCTTGTCTGTTATCTCTGGGCTCTTCATTGCTCCAGTGATGAACCTCTTCTACATCAAGGCAGCGCCACTTAACACGACACTGCTCTCCTTTGTGGACAATGGGGCGATTCTGGCCCAGTCCAAACAACTCGATGATAATAATGTGGGCCTGCATAAGGCCTACAAAATTATCTACCTCCTTTTTGTTGCATTCGCACTTGTTCTTGAACATGACAAGACTGAGCTGTTCCACTTTTCGCATTGATGCAACGCTTATAATCCTTTGCTTGATCTGGGGTACGCCCCACACACAGGCACTACACCTTTGAAGCCCAAGACCTATTGGAGGTACTTGGGCTTCTATTTCAATCGCAGGCTCACACTCCATGAGCATGTTTGTTATTATGCCACCAAGGCATTCACCCCTGTGCAGGCCATGCGCATGCTCGGAAACTCCACCAGGGGTCTCTCACCCAAACAGCGGTGCCTCCTTTATACATCATGCATGGTTCCCATCGCCACGTATGGCTATCGTCTCTGGTACTTCAATGGTGCCCGTAATAAAGGCGCCATGAACCAGCTGAAGCGGATGCAGCAAAAAGCTGCTCTTTGGATTACGGGTGCTTTCTGCACCTCACCTACAGGCGGTCTTCAGGCGCTAGCTGGTCTCATCCCCGTCCATCTCATGCTGAAGAAGCTGGCAATGCGCGCAGTGTATCATGTTGCCACCCTCTCAGACACCCACCCTCTTTGCTCCATGATAGGCAAGAGGCTCCTCAAATGGGCTAACCCTCATGCCCGCTCTGCCGCCTTGATGACCCCAGCTATGTGGGGGAAAGTCAAGAGCACTGTCATGGAGGTGGACGAACGCACCCACACATTAACTGAGAGTTTTGAGCCCTTTGCGCCTGAAGCTCGCCCTGGTGATCAGTTTACTGGACCGCTACGCAGACTGTCTCTGCTTTGATGAGCATGATCCTACTCAGGATAGGTGCCCGTATCTCAACGAGCTCATTGCAAATGCTAGGGCCAACCCATTCACAGTACTGGCTGCAGCTGACAGCTCTGTGTTCGCTCGTGTCTGCCAGTGTATAACTGGCCACATGCCTATCAGAGCGTACTACCGTCGCTTCAAGATTAACGAGCCTCATGGCTGCACTTGCGGGGCTGCTTTGCAGTCTTGTCAGCACATCCTCTTTTGCTGTCATGATAGATATTCTGTACACTATCCCCATTTTCTCAGGGATATTGCATCATTTCTGAAGCACAACCCTATGGTGTTTGGCTTCAACTGGGACCCCTCAGGTGTTGGATAATTGCTGCGGGCGGGGTTGTTCCTCCTTTTGGGGGATTTATGGTGAATTGACACCACTGGGCTCTAGGGTTCGAAGACCTGTGCCCATGACAATCCTCTTGCGCTTGCAGCCTGCTAATATAGTGGGTTGCGGCGCCGCTAACTTTCTGTGTCTGGTCTTGGGCAGGCACATCTTTGGCTGGTCGGCCTCAAGACACCCTGCCACCTCCCGGGTGGTGCTTTTCTTATCTCATTTGTGCTGCGTGGCCTCCAAACAGTGATCAACGATTTTGGGGCGTAGCAGAACCTCAATAGTTTCCTCCCCTTATCCAGATGCACCATTTTCATGAGGTGGGTTGCCCTCTGGGAAGTTTCGAGGTCTTCACACTCCCCCACATATCCCTATAGGACTCCAGTGGACTCCAGTGGAGTCTGGTAGAAATCTATTAGCAGGAACACCAGCCAAAAGTGCCTACTGGACTCCAGTGGAGCTCACTGGAGTCCACTGGAGTCACCACCCAAAGTCTACTGGAGTTCACTGGAGTCTACTGGAGTGGAGTGTCTATTTTCCACTGGACTCCTATAGGACTTCAGTGGAGTCCAGTGAACAATGCAGAGAGATGTCATAGTCATAGAAGAAAAATGTGACTGATGCCAAGATTGATGGCAGGTCATGTGACTTTTTATTTGCCTATTCCTTCAGAGTCAGCTTCTGAAACTTTGATGTTATGGCCTCAAATAGAAACAATTAATAAATATATGATTGCTAGGCCCAGACTTGGCATTGATGAAAAGTAATAAAGCTATCAAGTTTGCTGATGACATCAATATCAGAGTCACATGTGACAAATTGGATTTTGCCAAAATGTGCTCTATCTACACAGGGACTAGGGGTGCTAACAATATGAGATATGCAGGTCACATGACTGTGAGAAAATTTCTTTTTAGGAGAAAATAATTGCAATAAATGATGATCCTGAATCCACTTGAGTGATGGTATTTGGCTCTATTAATGACAAGATATAAGCCAAATAATGCCAAAATTTGCAAAAGTAATCTACTTTTTCAGTATTTTACATTTTTCTTGCCAAGCAGAGCAGCTAATGACATCAAATAACTTGATTCAGGGTCGGCCAAAGGTGCTCTACAAATCCTGATGCTTTTTCCTAAAAAGAATGATTATTAAGCATCTTGTTGCATACTCTATATGCTGGACATGGGTAGTCATTTTGATACATATACTGGAGTCCACTGGAGTCCACTGAACTCCAGTATAATTCCACTGGACTCCACTGGACTCCACTGGATAATATGCCAACTCCACTGGACTCCAGTGGAGTCCTATAGCACTCTGTGGGGGACCACAAAGTACTGGAAGTTTCGACGTATACACCAGAAGGGTCTTGGTTGGGAGGCGGTCATCTTTTAGTAGTTTACTTAGTACCCAGGCCGCACAGTGTACGTGTCTGTAGATAGCAAGCAGGCTGCCATCAAGCACCACTATATAAATTGTTGATCAAAAAAAAAATACAGGTACTTGCCTGCACTGCTTCTGACACAGTGCCGGGGTAATTAATGAGGAGTTCGTATTTCTCATTATTGACATAACTTCTCATTCTGAGCCATGGCTTGTAAGTCTTTTCATTCTTTGGTTTGCTTTTCATTACTGTGCCCCTTCTCATATCTTAAGAGTTATCATATCACACAGTGCACTTCTCATATCTGAACACATTTTTCATTCCCACACTTCTCATTGCAGCGCATTTTTCAATCTCGCTGACTTCTCATATCATGGCGCATTTTTCATTCTCATCCATACTTCTCATTGCCCTGCACACTTCTCATCACCCACTGACCTTCTCATATCATGGTATTCTTCTCATTTCGTGGTGCTGCTTCTTGGTTTGATGTGTATTCCCCATTAGGAAAGTGCATCACATAAGGGCTTGGCTGGCAGTATTGCTGGGGTATTTCGGTCATTTCCGGGCCGATTTTGTTGAAATAAAAAATACCATAAATCGTAGAATAATCGTAGCATTCCGTAGATACCTTACACGTGACAGTGTGACCATTTTTGGCAGCTGCACAGCCAAATTAATGCCCTGCACTTCGAAAATGCGAAAATGCGGCCTCACTGGGCCCCCTCCCATGCATCCCCTGATAGAACCAGGTAAGCGTTTATGAACAGGCATACAATGGAGTCCTATCTACCACAAAATATCTGCAATACCTGCGGAAATGCTCGCATAATTTCCTAACCAATGCAATTTGCTAAAAAAAATAGCCAAAATGCGCACCTGAATCTCTACCCATGGCAGGGATCAGACCACTGGGAAACCTTACCGGTTAGATAGGGGATATGTAAGGCTTCCCGGGGATATATTTTGTATGGCCCCGCATGCATTACTCTTGGCTGTACGCTTGAATTACTGATTTTCATTCAAAAACACGAAAATGTGCCCCTCAATCCCTCCCCAGAATCCCTGTTTCACACCATAATATCTATCCATATACCCTACTACAGAGTGCCTCTACCACTTCAGGTCCTACCCTCAGTTATATTCTGCTTACAGTTTGTGTCATTCCCCTCTCCTCCTCCTCCCCCTCAAAAAGCAAAAATGCGCACTGAATGTTCTCCTCTCCTGTACTTCATGGCATCCTGATACATATGCAGCATTAGTTAATAGCTAATAAGATACGCATGTGTGTGATGATGCCCTGAAATATCGAAATCTGCAATTGCAGGACATGTATTCCTGTTTCTCTTGGTTCCCTCTTGATGTTTCCTCTGTCCTGGCCTCAATTCTGGTCTGATTCTCATGAAAACATGTTCCCCATACTAAGGAAGAAAGGTATTTTAGATATAGATACCCCTGAGAATGCATTTCAGACCACTTAGATAACAGCAAAATCACACTGATTGGCCATTTTAATTTTTTTTAATTTTTTTTTTGATCAACAGTTTATATAGCGGTGCTCGATGGCAGCCTGCTTGCTATCTACAAACACGTACGCTACACGGCCTGGGTACTAAGTTAACTACCTAAAGACAACCGCCCCCCCAACCAAGACCCTTTGGGCTCAAACACCTAAACTCCCCAGAGGGCAACCCACCTTGCGAAAACGGTGCATTGGGATAAGGGGAGGAAACCATTGAGGTTCCGCTATGCCCCAAAGTCGTTGAACGCTGTTCAGAGGCCACGCAGCACAAATGAAACAAGAAAAGCACCACCCGGGAGGTGGCAGGGTGTCTTGAGGCTGACAAGCCAAAGATACGCCTGCCCAAAACCAGATGTAGACAGTTAACGGTGCTGCAATCAACCAACTGAAGAAGGTCAACCATGAGCGCAAATGAGTGAAGCAGGCGCAGGTCTCTGAACCCTAAAGTTCGAGGGTGTCAATTCACCATAAATCCTCTGAAAGGAGGAACAACCCCACCCACAATGATTATCCAACACCTGAGGGGTCCCAGTTGAAGCCAAACGCTGTAGAGTTGTACTTCAGAAACGATGCAATATCCCCGAGAAAATGGGGATAGTGTACAGAATATCGATCGCGGCAGCAAAAGAGGACATGCTGTCAAGACTGAAAAGCAGCCCCGCAAGTGCATCCATGAGGCTTGTTGATCTTGAAGTGATGGTAGTACACTCCAATGGGTGTGTGGCCAGTTATACACCAGCAGACGTGAGTGAACTCAGTAATACTGTGTCCAAAGGTTGAGAGCCAAGGTCCCCCATTGAGGTACAATGGCTGAATTGGCCGTTGAAGCTCCAAGAATTCAGAGCCGCGATAAGTTGGATCCTGGAAAGTGGAACTCCACGAGTCCAGGACTGAGTGCACTGCTTGGGAGTGAAGCGCGTCTATGGAGTTGTCCATCTTGCGACGTCCAACCCTGACTTTGAGTTCAGTGACATACTTGTGTGCCTCACCATGGATATCCCACCGCAGAGCAGATGGAATGTAGATGAAGGTGATGTGGTGGAGATCATCTGCCTCGAACCACTCTTGGAGAGCGCGACAGACTGACAGACTGAAAGTCTGACCAGAGTGCACGGAAGGTGTTAAGTGTGGACAGGTAGGGGAACACACAAGGCAATGGTGTGCCAAAGATGAGCAACTCGGGATAAGGGACTGAGGAGATATGAGGCTCTGAAGTCTGGAGTGAGAAACTGGTCATATTGGGTAATACAGGATAAACTACTTGCCTGAAGTCCAGAGTGAGAAACTGGGGACTTTAGGCATCTGACAGCAGTCATATATATACTAAAGAACAAAGGGAAACCCAAATGGAGACTGGGAACAATAAGAATGATGAAGGTAACCAAGTGGATCTGGGATCTGATCTGTGATCAGATGCAGATGCAGAGATCAGATGAATCTACAGATGTATCTAGATAAGATGAAATAGAATGGGGATAGATCTAGACCACTTTGGGATGAGTCAGGTGATGTCACCTGATCATGTGAGGACACAGTCATGTGCAGTCATGTGGTCCAACCCCATATAGAAGTTGAGACATGTGATGGAAGTTTTAACACACCCCTGTGATCAAACATGTCTCAAAGTTCAAAAATTAAACCAAAACACCCATTCTGTCTCTGCAATATTGGACTTTGGGGATAGGTAGAGGTTTGGTGAGCAGGTCAGCAACGGAATGTAATGAGGAGTGATCACCCCCTCATTGACTGCTTCACGCAGCCAGAAGAAACAGAGGTCAAGTTGTTTCATATGTCCATGATGCTCTGGATTCTTGGACACAGTAATAGCAGATTGGTTGTCAATATGTAAAGGCAAAGCTTGTTTGACAGGATAGACAAATTCACCAAGGATGTTGCGCATCCAGTGAATTTCTTTGCCAGCTTCTACAGCAGATATGTACTCTGCTTCAGTTGTAGAAATAGTGACAAAGGGCTGCAACTTGCTTGCCCAACCAATTGCCCCACCAGCCAGTGTAGTGACATAACCAGCAGTGGAACGTCCAGTATCAACACAATCACCATGAGCAGCATCAGAGTAGGTAGTAAACTCACAAGAGTCTACTTGACCATTGAAATGCAACTTGTGCTCCAGAGTTCCCTTGCAGTAACACAAGAGATGCTTGACTGCAGCCCAATGTTTAGGGCCAGGATTGGAGCTGAAGTGTGCCAAATAGGACACAGTATAAGCAATGTCTGGATGGGTCATAGTGGCCAAGTACTGAAGTGAACCAACTGCACTGAGGTAAGGAACATTTTGCATGAATTCCACCTCATCACTGTTTTCAGGACCCATTGTCTTGGATAAGACAGTACCAGGTGCCATAGGAGTCTGGACAGGATGACAGTCACTCATACCATAGCATTTAAGCATATCAAGAATAAACTGATGCTGATGGAGTGTGATGAGTTTCTTGTCCTTGTCCTGACCAATCCCAACACCCTGCAAGAACTTGGTGGATCCCAAATCACAGCATTTGAAACATGTGCAGAGGTCCTTCACAGCCTTGTCAATGGCAGCATTGGACTTGGAAGCAAAAGTGATGTCATCAACATAAATGGGGACAATGATTTTGACCACTCCATTGGAGTAAATGTAGACAGAGTGGTCAGCCTCAATGCGTTTGAAACCCATTTCAACAAGAGCAGCATGTAACTTCTTGTTCCATTGATGAGCAGCTTGCTTCAAGCCATAGAGAGACTTGCACAGATGCAACACCTTGTTAGGCCCCCCTTGATGGAACCCCTCTGGTTGGAGCATATAGATCTCCTCTTCCAGATCGCCATCAGGAAAAGCAGAGGTAACATCAACAGAGCGGAGGTGCATGTCCTCTATTGCAGCCAAAGCCAGAATCAAGCGCAGAGTGGCAGGACGAAATGTGGGAGCAAAGACTTCAGTGTAGTCAATGCCAGGGCATTGGCTGTAACCCTTTGCCACAATCCTAGCCTTGTACCATTCAATAGTACCATCTGCTTTAAACTTGATTTTAAAGACCCAACCTGAACCAATAGCCTTCTTCCCAGGAGGTAGATCAACAATCTCCCAGGTCTCATTTCCATTGATTACATTATACTCATCCTGTGTAGCTTCCTCCCAAAGATGTCTGTCATCACCTTTCATGGCCTGTTTGGAAGTCCGTGGATCAGAACTGCAATATGGCTTAACGGTTGTGTTGTTGGGTTTAAGGGTGGCTGTGCTCTACCCGAGAGGTCTGGGGTTCAATTCCCTAGCAGTGCGAGGACCAAACGCTCGTGACTGTGTACAAGGGGCTTTCAGGCCCTATCAGCATGGGGGGTATCTCCGAGATCGATGAATTGTGGGCTTACCGATTGGTTAAGTCTTCTCACTGTTCGCCGTGATGAGGTTACTCCTGATGATCAGTGACTATGCTGTGATATGAGGAGGAGGCACCGCCCTTGGAGATGCTCAGGTTCGATGACCAGGCCCATACCGATAAGATCTGGAACCTTAGATGGTGATATTGATCTTCCCCCACAGGGTGCAGCACTCCCCGTGGCTGTGGATAGGTATTTGACCAATAAGATCTGGAGCCTTAGATGGCGATATGATCTTCCCCTGCAGGGTCTTACTCCCCACAGCTGTGGATAGGTTTGCCCATAGAACTTGATTGCCCAAAGCCTGGCTTGTTGTCACCGGCACCAGAAACAGTCCTAACGGATAGGGCATGGTAAGACAGGGGGAATTGTCCTGATAACAAACCGACCCACACCAATTGGTTAAGTTTCCGCACCGTTCAGTAGGGACAGGTCACCCCCCACCATGGGAACTCGTGCGATTAGCTGGGCCATGGTTGTTAGTCGCCGCTGGAAATAACTCCTGGGCCGGGTTTGTCCTATGAGACGGTAATCGCCTAGGCATGCACAACCGGGTAGGGCAGGTGTGTAATGACCTGAACAGAGGGGGGACTTGGCCTCAGCATGCTCTTGTGCTGTGCCCCTACACATCATCTGGTTGTCCCCAATTTACAGGAACTGCCTTGGTCTTGACAAAGGAGAGACAAGAAGAAGTCATCCTGGCCAAGGCCCAGGAGACAGAGGATGAACAACAGAGCAGAGGGGTTGTCAAGGTTGAGATTCAAGCTGGGGAATCCAGTACACTACCTAGCTACTTATACTATTGAGAACAATGGAGAAGATCTAGGTTATGTAATGAATGCCAGCAGAACAATGACAGAGAACAATGAAGACAATAATGAATGAAACAATGAAAGTAAAGCCCATTGAAGAACCAGAACAATGAACAATGGAACAATAGAACAATGGGTTCAGGAATGGGATGTGACAAGGTGGCAAGGCAGAGATGTGGAACTCAATGCCATCTCGTGTGCAGTGCGCCTTGCTGTTAAGCAGGCAAACTGCCAACATATTATGGTCTTTACTGACTCTATGGGCTCAGTCCATAGAGCGGTTGACCCTGGCGTGCATTCCGGTCAGGCTTTTAGCCTGTCAGTTTGTCGCGCTCTTCAAGAGTGGTTTGAGGCGGATGATTTCCGCTGCATTACCTTCGTCTACGTCCCATCCGCTCTGCGGTGGGATATTCATGGTGAAGCACACAAGTACGTCACTGAGCTCAAAGTCAGGCTTGGACGTCGTAAGACGGACAACTCTATAGACGCGCTGCGCTCTCGAGCGGCGCACTCAGTCCTGGATTCGTGGAGCTCCACTTTCCAGGATCCAACCTACCGAGGCTCTGAATTCTTAGAGCTTCAACAGCCTGACGGGCGGCTGCTACAGCCATCGTACCTCAATGGGGGACCTTGGCTTTCAACCTTCGGACACAGTATCACTGAGTTCACCTGCGTTTGCCAGTGTATAACTGGCCACACGCCCATTGGAGCGTATTACCGTTGCTTCAAGATCAATGAGCCTCACGGCTGCACTTGCGGGGCTGCTTTGCAGTCTTGCCAGCATATTCTCCTTCGCTGTCGCGATCGCTACTCCGTGCATTACCCCTCTTGGGGATATTGCATCAAGCGTTTGGCTTCAACCGAGACCCCTTCGGGTGTCGGATAATCGTTGTGGGCGGGGTTGTTCCTCCTTTTGGGGGATTTATGGTGAATTGACACCACCGAGCTCTAGGGTTCGAAGACCTGCGTCCATCGCAATTCTATCGTGCAGGCGATCGACTCTTTTGGTCGACTGCGGCACCGCTAACTTTCTGTGTCTGGTCTCGGGCAGGCGCATCTCTGGCTTGTCGGCCTCAAGACACCCTGCCACCTCCCGGGTGGTGCTGTTCTTATTTCATTTGTGCTGTGTGGCCTCCGAACAGCGTCCGACGACTTTGGGGTTTAGCGGGGCCTTGATGGGGGCGGACGTCTTTTAGTAGTTTACTTAGTACCCAGGCCACGTAGTGTACGTGTTTGTAGATAGTGAGTGGCCTGCCATCGAGCACCGCTATATAAATTTTGATGAAAAAAAAAAAAAAAAAAAAAAAGGTGGCAAGGCAGTAACTCAGGACAGATTGGGGATCCGAGCTGATTGGCATAATTGAACCATCTGCCTGGGGACGGCAAGTTATGGCTGGGGACGGGAAGTTATGGCTGGGGACGGGAAGTCACGGCTGGGGTCGCACCTGGTGTCGGATGGGCCGTAGCAGGACGAGGTAGTCCCTCTATCCTGGCTCGAGAGATCTATATCTGCTGTCAGTTGGTTCAGGAATAATAAGACCGAGCTGGCTCAAGTTGAAGCCTGAGTGTTGGGATTGTGGTTGTAAGCTTGCCTTCGGTGGGCCTGTGGAGCTTCAGACCTACTTGGGAGGTTCGGGATGATAAACTGGGAGGCGTGACAAGAGATCACCAAAGGGTGGAACCAGTGCCCCAGACCGCAGAGTGGTACCCAATCCGCCCACCAAATAGGCAGGACCTTGTACAGAGGGCCATAGAGCCAAGCCTTGCCTGTCAGATGCAAGAGTGTACATTAGGTGGGGTGTAGTGCGCCCCCAGAACTCCTGGTGGATATCCTCCAGATTCCCAATAGGGCTCTCTGCAAGGAGGGCCCTAAACTTAGGTTGAAGCTTTAGCCGATGCTATCGCGACGGTGTTCTCGGACACATGGCTTGCCCATTCGACCGAGTCCAAACCTACCAAGCGCTCCAAGTCATGGTGGATGGACAAGTGCTTGGAGACATTCGGAGTTTACCAGCTGAGCCGTTCACTAGCTGATTACAACAAGTTCAAGAAGGTGTGTAAGGACGCCAAACGTGACTTCTTTGATGAACGCATCGCAGAAATCACCACTTCTTGCAAGCGCCTGTGGGACCTAATGGAATGGGTCAAACAGCGCAAGCTACCACCCTGTGAGGCTATTCGCAATGGCGACCGGCCTTGCCATGATATGGACGACCTTTGGGATGCCCTTCACAGCACGTACAACTCAGCCTCGGGTCATGAGTACGATGCCTCTGTCTTAGACGAGCTTCCTGATGAGCTGGTCCGCAAATGGGCTGACTTCTTGGAGCATGAGTTGTTGAGTGCCCTTAAGGGGTGCTCTAACTCCTCTGCACCAGGACCGGACCATGTTACATGGGTCCACCTTAAGGAGTTGCTCAAGGATAAACATGTCCTTGCGCTCTTCATCGTGTTGGCCAACGCCTGCCTTTGGGTGGGGCATTGGCCACATATATTTAAGGAGTTGCTATCGGTCATCGTCCCAAAACCGAATAAGCCCTCTTATGCTGTGCCAAAGGCCTTTAGGCCGATCGTACTCCTCATTTTTTATTTTTTTTATTTTTATCAACAATTTATATAGCGGTGCTCAATGGCAGGCTGCTCGCTATCTACAAACACGTACGCTACACAGCCTGGTTACTAAGTTAACCACTAAAGGACGACCGCCCCCCCAACCAAGACCCTTTGGGCTCAAACGCCGAAACTCCCCAGAGGGCAACCCACCTCGCGAAAACGGTGCATCGGGATAAGGGGAGGAAACCATCGAGGTTCCGCTACGCCCCAAAGTCGTCGATCGCTGTTCGGAGGCCATGCAGCGCAAATGAGATAAGAAAAGCACCACCCGGGAGGTGGCAGGGTGTCTTAAGGCCGACCAGCCAGAGAAGCGCCTGCCCGAAACCAGACGCAGAAAATTAGCGGCGCCGCAACCCGCTACAATAGCGGCTGCAAGCGCAAAGAAATAGCGGCGGTGCACAAAGCCAGACCCACCTCACGAAAATGGTGATGCGGGATAAGGGGAAGAGACCATCAAGGCCCCGCTAAACCCCAAAGCCGTCGAACGCTGTTCGGAGGCAACGCAGCGCAAATGAGATAAGAAAAGCACCACCCAGGAGATGGCAGGGTGCCTTGAGGCCAACAAGCCAAAGATGCGCTTGCCCGAAACCAGACGCAGAGAGTTAGCAGCGCCGCAATCTGCTATAATAGTGGCTGCAAGCATGAAGGAATAGTGGTGGGCGCAGGTCTCCAAACCCTCAGGTCTGAGGGTGTCAATTCACCAATAAATCCCCCGAAGGGAGGAATAACCCCGCCCTCAATGATTATCTGACCCCCGAAGGGTCTCGGTTGAAGCCAAACACTGTGGGGTTGTACTTCATAAACGATGCAATATCCCCGAGAAAGCGGGGATAGTGTACAGAGTATCGATCGTGACAGCGAAAGAGGAGGTGCTGGCGAGACTGCAAAGCAGCCCCGCAAGTGCAGCCGTGAGGCTCATTGATCTTGAAGCGATGGTAATACGCTCCAATGGGTGTGTGGCCAGTTATACACGGGCAGACACGAGCGAACTCAGTAATACTGTGTCCAAAACATGAAAGCCAAGGTCCCCCATTGAGGTACAATGGCTGTAGCGGCCGCCCGTCAGGCTGTTGAAGCTCTAAAAATTCAGAGCCTCGGTAAGTTGGATCCTTGAAAGTGGAACTCCACGAGTCCAGGACTGAGTGCACCGCTTGAGAGCGAAGCGTGTCTATAGAGTTGTCCGTCTTGCGACGTCCAACCCTGACTTTAAGTTCGGTGACGTACCTGTGTGCCTCACCATGAATATCCCACCACAATGCAGATGAAACGTAGATGAAGGTGATGCAGCAGAGATCATCCACCTCAAACCACTCTTGGAGAGCGCGACAGACCGACAGGCTAAAAGCCTGACCAGAGTGCATGGAGGGGTCCACTGCTCTGTGGGCTGAGCCCATAGAGTCAGTAAAGACCATAATATGCTGGCAGTTTGCCTGCTTGACAGCAAGGCACACTGCATACGAGATGGCATTGAGTTCCACATCAGGGGCGGTAGCGGTAACTCTGCCAGAGACATAGCAATCCTTTC